AAGAATCTGGAGTATCTCAGGACTGCAAAGAGACTTAACCCCAGGCAAGCCAGGTGGGCCCTGTTTTTTGGTCGTTTTGACTTCTCCCTATCTTACAGGCCGGGGTCCAAGAACAGGAAACCAGACGCCCTGTCCAGGATGTTCGAGAACCTCCAAGGAGGCTTAGGAGTACATCCTCCCTGACACCGTTAGGTGTGCCATCACGAGGCTCGACCTGGAGGGGGAGGTCAAAGAATCTCTCGAGGGAATACAGATTCCGGAGGCCTGCCCCAGGGACAGGCTTTATGTCAAAGACTCCCTGATTAATAAAGTCCTTAACTTCTGTCATTTCTCTCGTCTGTATTGTCATCCTGGTTACACTAAGTCAGTCAGAATCATCAGGTCCCAGTTTTGGTGGCCCACTTTGACTCGGGACGTTAAGGAGTTTGTTGCAGCCTGCCCTCAATGCAACCAGGCCAAGGTCTCAAGGCGACCCCCGTCCGGTCTGCTCCGCTCTCTCCCCGTTCTTTCTCGGCCATGGTCTAGCATTTCCATGGACTTTGTCACAGGTTTACCAGTTTCTGAGGGTCACTCTGTCATTTTAACCATTGTTGACAGATTTTCTAAAATGGTCCACCTGGTCCCTCTACCTAAGCTCCCCACTGCCAAGGAGATGGGCACAATCCTGGCTAAGGAGGTCTTCCGTCTGCATTGACTGCCAGCTGACATAGTGTCCGACAGAGGTCCTCAGTTTGTGGCCCGTTACTGGCAGGAGTTCTGCTCTATGTTAGGAGTAACTGTTAATCTGTTGTCTGGTTTTCACCCTCAGACTGATGGTCAAACAGAGAGGATGAACCAAGAGGTTGAGACAAAACTTCGACTCCTCTGTGAGTCCGACCCCACTAGGTGGGTGCAGAACCTACCCTGGGTGGAACACGCCATCAACTCCACTCCCTCCAGCTCCACCGGCCTCTCACCCTTCTATGTGGTGTACGGTTTTCAACCACCAGTTTTTTCTGTCGAAGAGAAGGAGTCCAGAGTACCTTCAGCCCGTCTGTCTGCCCTTAGATGTCTGCGTGCTTGGAGGAGGGCAAGGAGAGCCATCATCAAGTCGTCCCAGGTCCAGGCTCGTAATGCCAATCGCCGGCGGGCTCCAGCTCCATGTTACCAACCTGGAGACCGGGTCTGGCTCTCCACCAAGGACCTACCTTTAAAAGTGGATTGCAAGAAACTGGCACCCCGATTCATTGGGCCCTTCCCCATCTCCAAGGTGGTCAATCCAGTGGCTGTCCGGCTTCGCCTCCCTCAGACGATGAGAATTCACCCCACATTCCACGTCTCCCATGTCAGGCCGGTCAGAGACTCAAGGTTTGTGCCCGCTGCCAGACCCCCACCTCCCCCCCGTCTGATCGATGGAGGTCCTGCCTATTCAGTTAGGCGCATTCTCAGATCCAGCAGGAGGGGCAGGGGCATCCAATATCTGGTGGATTGGGAGGGTTATGGACCTGAGGAGCACTCCTGGGTCCCTTCCCGCTTAATCCTGGACAAAACTTTGATCCGGGATTTCCACAGGGCCCATCCTGACCAGCCCAAAAGGGCTTCTGGAATCCGCCCTTGAGGGGGGGGTTCTGTAATGGTTTCTGCACTGATTCTGGCCTGATCACTCAGTCAATGCACCTGCTCTGCTCCACTCATCTGCAATCAGCTCTGACTGGAGTCACCTGTTTCCAGCACTTTAAAAACCCCATCAGATCTGTCCTCTGTGCCAGATTATCTCAAGCCAACCCGCTATGAATAATCCAGCATCAAAAGAAGAACCTGACCACCTTTCTGTTTTTGACCCGATCTGCCTCCTGACTCCGAGCCTGCCTGAACCCTGTTTGATTCTGCCTGCCTGCTTCCCTCTCTCTGGATCTCTGACTCTGAAAAGCTCTACCTAACTGCCTGCCTCTCCGTCCTGGATAAAACTGGTAAACCTCCCTCAATCTGCCCGCCTGTCTTCCTGCAGCCTGCTTGCCCACACAGATCCAGCCCCGCTTTCTGATTAACCCTCTCAATAAATCTTCAAAACGTCACTAACCTGTCTGGGTTTATTTGGATTCAGTCTCTGTCTCATTA